GTGATAACAAGTTTAACCCATGAGGAATTCACTGCATGAGGTTGCTACATGTAGTGACAGTTAAACAAAACCCAAAAAGCGATAGTTAATTCTACAACTAAATATGCAAGCAGTCATGTCTCCATAATTCAATTTAACTATCAATACGATTTACATGCTCTCGAAAGTAATTTGCGTATGTATAACTGGTTGAAAAAACTCGAGCCATTTTCTCATCCAATTAGAAGCAAGACCAAAACGCTAGTTACATGCGCTAATTTTTCTGCGTTTGGCGCCATTTGCATGTAATTATTTCAAATTGTGATGGGTCCACTAGGCTGCCTTCGCTCATGATTTTAGGACACTCAATTTAAAACTGTTGTAGGGCAATTGAGGCACAAGTACTAAAAACGTCCGTTCACAAATAGGAACGTAGTCTCACGTTTTATTCGAATGTCAGCCCAAACTCGCTTGTGAGATACTTCTTGTGTGAATTTCGAAGGCTATAATTAACATCATTAGGAATTTCCACGAAGTCAACCGAAAAAAAAGGAAATCTGTTGGTTAGACACTTCTTTGTCGCATGGTAGTATCTCACAGTCTCTTGACGTGAAGGTCGGCAATTTCTACAAAATGGACACCGGCATTTTAGAGAGGGTCTTCGTTTTGTAGTTTGAGGCGGGTAAAACTACAAAAGGAAGACCCCATTGATTTCAATGTTTTAGCGTCAAATAAAACGTTTCAGCGAGGGTCTTCGTTTTTTAGTTTGAGGCGAGTAAAACTACAAAACGAAGACCCTATCGAATTCAGTGTTTTAGCGTCAAGTAAAGCGTTTTGACGGAGATCTTCATTTTGTAGTTTGAGGTGGGAAAAACGGTCTTCGGTCTTCGGTCTTCGGTTTGGAGACGCCCATTACGGTCGACAAGTTCACGAAGGGTGATAGTGACACTCGGTCCCAGTCTCAAAACGAAGAAGGGCCTCCTCTTCTATCCCTTCAAGGGACTTCCGCAAGATTGAGGCACGACCTTCCTCATTGAAGCATCAGCGAAAGTCTGATAAGATGGTGTCTTTCCGTGATTATGAAATTTGCTTACTCTTTCTTCTGCTGGTAAAGTTTAACTGGTCAGGTACGTGTGAAATGTATTCTCCCGTACAAAGGATTTTACTGTGTTTTCTACCGTGTGCCATTTTAAGCTTAGACACCAAAAACGCCGACCCTTTATTTCTGACCGTGATGTTTGTCAAAATGATGGTAAAGTTTCCGCACAGCCCCATACTATTGTAAAACAAATCTGTTTTCCCAACGGAAATGTATTGTTTTTGTCATTGTTTTCTCTGTTCAAGAACTGAATGCATAATGTAGGATGGGGCTGTGCGGAAATTTTACCGTAACAATACTATACGTTCAGAATATAACATCAAAATTGAAACTGAGAGGTGCACTATTTTCTTGATTAGTGTGAGTCGTATTCTTAGCCATGAGAAAAGTTACTGCTTTGTCAGATGGCTTTCCACTATAAACATGAAGGCCATGCAAACCCAGGAAAGAGTTGCCGTACCTAAACTCTCTTCCTTGGCATCCATTACTCATCATTGGGAAGAGCTGTTAACAATATTTCCACTCATTATTGGTTCAAAGAATGACCTCAGCTGCTAGCTAATATAAGTTGAGTGTGAGTTTTCCTCCAGGCAGCAATCTTGTAAAGAAACTACATAGTGCACTTGGATGAATAATTGAGCTTTATTTGATCAATTACCTACATATATGATATGTCTACTGACTTGACCAGTTTTTAGCGTTATGTACATAATGGTTGTGGTATCCCACACCGGTAGTCTTGGGCTACTTATTTTTGTTGTATATTTAGAAAAAGGGAAAGTTTTACTAGGACCAAAATTTTTGAAATGCATGTGTGTATACATGTGGGCTTATAATATACACCCTGAGATTTACTCCAAGCTAAATTTGAAAAAAAAATTGATTTGTAATAGACTGCACAAATTCTGATAGGTTGGATGTTTTTTTTTCACAAGTGAGAAATGAGCATCTGACCAATCACAAGTTGAAGGTGAAATTTTTGACCAGTAAAAACAATAACATGGGTTTTTTTACCCTAGTGGTGTGGGGGCTTGCCAAAGTGAATGAAAGTGAATGTCAGCAATGTTTGCTGGTTGCCTATTACTGTAGAATCATGACTTTAGGATTAAAAACAGGTAGTCAGTGGTTTGTGTAAACAAGTTAAATTAATTAATGAAGATAATGTTAGAGAAAGTTGGATTTTAAGAAAATTGGTGAAAATCACTCTGATTTCACCTCACGCAAACTGATCACAATCTTCATCAAAATCTTTGCTTTGATCAATTCCTGACATTTACAATCCAAGGAACTAAAGAGTATTCTCCTCCAAAATGGTAAAAAAGACTTAAATTTCCAGGTTCTGACTCTGATAAGAAAGCATTACGGTCTTCCTTTGTCATTTCATTTGTGCTTATGTGAATGACCAAAAATTTATGTTTCAAATTGGCACTATAATTCCCATGGTATTAACAAATGTTTTTCAATCATTTAATTTGTTCCTCATTTTTGTCTTTACTTTGTTCCCAGCAGTAATCATGAATGTTGCTCCATTTTCTGCATATAAAACACACACAACCCACAATTCCTTACATTACTAAAAGTTTGCATGTACAATTTTTATAGACAAAAACTCGCCTGTTCCCCGCTCATTGTTTTAATCTCTACATCTTGTGAATATAAATCCCATGCACGCATTAAATATGAACCATCTATATTTCCTACATTTCCCAACCATATTTAACCATTTTCAAAACTCTATTTTTTATTTCCATGAAAGCTGCTCTGTTTATTTAAATTATTTTCTCATAGTCTACCACAGCAAAGTGGGAAGTCATTTTGTTGTCATGCAATGTTTCAAGCCGAGGTGAATGGCTGGTGGCTAACCACCAGTGAGCTTGGCAATCAATTTCTACAAAGCACTTAAACAAATCCACCAAAATTTTCCATTGTCTATTTAAAAAATAGATTCCATGTTGTTTTGTGTCTGTTCAGTAATAGATTACATGTAATGACAGAATATGGTAAGTTAAAAAAAGGGGGCACATATAACAGCTAAGCTTGTTCCAGGCATTCAGTTATGAAAATGGAGCAAACTAGATGCAACATTAGCAGAGGAATGAGAAAGTGAGGGAGATGACAGCAATGTTCACTAGTGTTCTATGTTTTACTCACTGAATGCCTAGAACAAGTTAGGCGCGGATGGGTGTGTCACTGATGTTCTTCGCATGTTCTGACGTCCTTTGTGATTAACAACAGGGCCACAGCAACATGGAATCTAAAGCAAAATTTATCGATGGTGATGTCACTAATGGATTAATGTCCTCCACTAGATCATAAGTACATGAAAGAGCCAATCAAAATGTGTGTAGAATTCAGCTTATTATATAAAACCTTATCAATTATAGAAATGTGGTCAAAGATTAATTCAAAGCTAAAGGAGGAGCAGCCAAAACAGTTTTGAACATTGTTGACATCCTTTCTATGGCCAAGGTTCTAGACAATAGAAAATTTTGGTTGATATCTTTTTTATAACATTGGAATTTTTAAGCAGCTTAATATGCTGAAGTTTCCGGATAATCATGCACATATGACATGATTGATCATTGCATTGTTGTCTTTGCTGTTGTTGTTGTTTTAACTTGTGTTATGTGATGACTTCGATGATTAAATACCATTAGCATAATTGCTCAGGTGATTGTAGAGATGCGCATGCTCTTATTGGTCAAGGATTGCAACATATCTTGCTATAATCACCATGCGCGGGTGATTATAGTGAGAGCACTAAATTTCAAAATGGCTGCCCTGCATTTTGTCAAATGTTTGTGAGGAAGTAATAAAAGCAATAGTAGAAAATTAAACTTTGAAGAGCATGAAAGATATTAAAAGATTAGCAGAACCCTTTTAATAAACAAAGGGATGAAGTTTTTGCTGATTGAATTCAAAAAACCTCTTAAAACTGTTGGCTCATCTTGATACAGGTAATCAACACAATTGTAACAAAATTTGGGCAATGCTTTCTTTATTAACAGAATTTATAACAGAATTTGAAAGCACCTGAGCAATTACTGTCTACTTAAATAATTATTTGTTGAAAGTGAAGGGAAGATAGATAAATAATATTCACCTCACCCGATAAGTAGAACATCAGAATGTTGATGACACAAAGGTACGAAAAAAAAGTCAAATTTTTATCTTTCCCCTATATAATGCTTTACAATGCAGTGAAAGAAAAATCTGATTTTTCCAGGTAGAAATTAAGGGTTGAAAGGTTAGTTAATTTACCATTCAATGCTATCAAAGCACACTTGGTTGCTGTTTTGTATTTTTTATGACAGCTGCTTCGTTTATTGAAACTATTTTCTCCTAGCTTAACACAGCAAAGCAGGAAGCCATTTTCTTGTGGCTAACCACCAGTGAGCTTGGCAATCAATTTATACAAAAGCATGTAAACAAATCCACCACAATTTTCCATTGTCTGTTTAACAAATAAATAGATTCCATATTGCTGTTCATCTGTTCAGTAATAGATCACATGTGATGTCAGAATATGGTAAGAACAAAAAAGTGGCACATGAGATCAGCTTAGCTTGTTCCAGTTGTCAGTTATTAAAACAGAGCAAAATAGCAAACGGAGCAACAGAACTGTTTACTATTGTACTATTTTTTACTAACTAAATGCACAGGGCAAGCTAGGTGCAGTTGAGTGTGTACCTGATGTTCTTGGCACATTTTGACATCCTCTGTGATTTATAACTGTACATGTAGAACTTCGGCAACATGGACTCGATTTGTTTTATTCAGTGAAGAAGCAAAAATTATTGTTGTTACTTCTTACACTTAAAGTGCCTTTATGGTTGACTCTATTTAAGCCCTTCTTCTTAAATATAATCCTTATGTATGTAACTAAAGGGCTGAGAATTGTATGTTTATGGTTGTCTATTTTAGGGGGTGTGGATGTGCAATTCACCCAGGAACCTTCTGATCCAAGCTACTTCAACAATGGTAGTAATGCCAACCTGGTGTGGAACTATGCCGATCCAAATAATAAAATTAGAGGCATTATCTACAGTGTTCTGGTAAATGGTGTATTTAAAGCAATGATTTTTAACGACAGTCATGGCGTGCAAGAACATCCTAGTATTCCTCCATCTTACAAAGGAAGAGTTAAAATTGAAGGAAGAGCTACCCTGATTATCAAGAACATCAGCCCTAGAGACAATACCAAATTTAGATGTCTAATGTCACAAAACCCTGCAGGGGAGGTTGAAAGCTCAGTTAAGCTTATTGTGGCAGGTACGTATTGCAGACATAACCATTAATAATCAGACACAAACCAAATCCACTCAACTCATGCCTCTCATATTTCTGAGATCTGGTGAAAGTAAACAATAGCATAAATTTGTGCAAACCTTTATATGCAGGGCTGAAATTGGCTAGCTAACCCAACTTTTGGGAACACTAGTGCTACTTTTACTTGGCATGTGACACCACACTCCTAAAAGGAGACAAGAAATTCCTTATGCTGTTTAAAAGAAGCTGAGGTTGTAAACAGAAAATAATTTCAATGATGATCAATGTGGCCAGGTAGGAATGCTATTCTTAGCAGATGTTGTTACTTGATGCTTCCTCTTTACCCTCTTGATTGAGATAGATACAGACCTAATGGAAACCTAAAATTGAAAGTACTGTAAATATACTTAAGAATACTTGAATCTCAATGGACTGGTTATTTAAGTCATAAATGTGACTTCTTGTTCCTTAAAAGCATGCAATGAGAATTACAGCTGTGAAATGGAAAATGCAGAATGCAGTCTATTATGAAACAAGGTATTGTTGTGGAGAAGTGTCTGCTCCTGTCTGCTAACCCAATATCTAAGATGTCCCATGCGCTGTCAATAGTTTTGCAAGTTTTGACTTTAAGTGTGTTCACCATGATCCTTTTGGCATTGGGTTTCAAAAGAATTTCATTTTTATCCTGACTACATTTCAAAAAAAGAATTCATCAGGTACAAAAAATTCCAATACAATGACTAATATCCTAAGAACTAAGATCATGATCCTAACATTATATGAACTAACACCAATATGCCACTTAAAAACCTGATTTCTATGAATGCCGTGTCTAAAAATTATGATAGAGAAGGCGTTTAAATTGGTTTAATGAACCAGACTCTCTAATGTTACAGGGTAAGCTATTCCAATGGGTTGAGCCGCTATAACTAAAACTATTTTTCATGTAGTTAGTTCTTGGAAATTGGACAACAAGTTTGTTTACTGAGCCCCACATAGAATAGTTTGATTCGTTTCACATTATAAATTTAAACGTGAGATATTCGGGAACCAGATGGTAGAAAGACTTGCAAACCATAAAGGTGTTCTGAATTTCACATTGAGATTTCAAGGCTTTTCAGCTGAGTTTGTGAGACAAGGAATCAACATCTGCACCATAGTTTGATGAATTTATTCATATGCAGCACGGTTTTGTAGTTTTTGTAGCTTGTTAGATAACGTTTTGGCACAATTACCCCAGACCAGGGTACAGTTATCAAAGTGAGATTGAAGTAGTGAGTTCTAGATTTTGAGTAGGGTGGATTGAGGCACAAATGGCTTAACTCGCTTTATGTCTCCATATCTCTATTTCTATTCCAAGGGATTTCACAGAGGAAACTTGTTCAATGGGAACATTATCTATGGAAAGTTTGAGTGTATCAGATAGAGTACTTAATCTATGCCTAGAGCGGATCAACATAAATTCAGTTTTTGTAGCATTCAAGGTAAGTCTGTTAGACACAAGCCATTTGCTTAGCTTTTCAAGGTTGTGAGATAGACTAGACTGGATCAAATGTAAATCAGAGCCAGCATAAGTGATGTGGGTGTCATCAGCATACACTCTAAGTACACTGAACGATAGACAGTTAGGCAAATCAAGGCTGTGCTCTAGTGGCTCCCGGTCACCTCAGGCGACTAACATTTGGTCTCGGGCGACTGAAAAAGAAAAGCGGTCGCCCGTCCGGGCGCATAGATTTCGGCTTGTGTGAAAACCCGAAACGAAACCAGCAAACGTATAGAAACGGAACGGAACGAAACAAAAAGAAACTCCATCGTGCTCCCCGGCTCCCGTTAGCCCGAAAAGCAAAAGCGCTGAAAGCTCAGTGCAATCAATAGCCTGTGTGATCTGTACATTTAGGTTAAATATTAAGTTAGGTCATGGGTCTTGTTTCGCTTCGGCAGTTTCTCTTCCGGTTTGTTAATATAGTACATGGCCCAGGTTTCTTGTCCATTGAACGACGTGATAAAACGAGCAACTGATTGTAACTAACATTTTATAATTTTACTTGCTAATTTGATGACATTTGCAGAACTAAAAAACATTCGGCAGGACAACAACAAGAATTGTTCATGCTCAAAGTTGTCGCGTGTGTTATGTAATATTGTTTCATATGGTTTAGCACGAAAAATTATTTTTTCCTTGCCCGTGAGAAACTGCACGATTTTTGCACAAGCATGTGTTGAAGATCTAATTTTTCTATTGAAGTGGTTGATGCTTATATTTAATTTTTGTGTTTCAACAGTTTCAATAGTGAAGCGCGTGATTAATAAAACGAAACCGCGCGTCCTTTATGCAAATTTGTGTTTATTTAATTAGCTTCGTCCATGGCATGCAAGATGTTTATCAGCACCATATTTGGCGACTTGCTCGCAATTGTAATCATTCAATCAAAATTAATTAATTAATTAATCAATTCGGGCGACCAACCTGGAAGGCTGGGCGACCTACTTGTCATGGTTAGGCGCCCAAAGGGCGCCCTGAAAATTTTCCTAGAGCACAGCCTTGGCAAATGGTTAATATAAATTAGAAGTAAAAGAGGGCCAAGGATCGTTTCCTGTGGCACACCACATTTAAGATTGGTGAAGTCAGAGAGACAATCATTAACTGAGCACTGTTGTGAGTGATTCGTCAAATATGATTTAAACCAATCAAGAGTTTTCCTTGAATACCACATGGATTCATTTTAGTGAGTATTATCTCATGATCAACAGTGTTGAATCCCTCTTTTAAGTCGAGAAACACTACAGCATTGATGTAGCCATGATTGATATTAAACCAACTGTCAGTGGCTTCAATTAAGAAGAGCAGTAAGTTGGGTGTAAAGACTTGAAACCAGATTGTTGTTTAGAGATGATTTCTTCACTATTTATGAGGTTCATATAACTGATCATACACAATCCTTTCAAACACTTTGGTGACTACAGAAATGACTGAGATAGGTCAGTAGTTGCTTTTAAGTTGGTATCATTTAGCTCAGTAGAGTGCTTAAATTTGGCATACATCATAAGGTTTCTACTATTTTACTGCTGATGTCATTGTCAGCTTTTTGCTTCTTCAGTAGGTTTCTTTATTTCCTCATCCTATAGCCATTTCCTGTCCTAGATTCCAAGTTCAAGTGACTCTAAATATAGAAAAAAATGTGTATTTCTGGCCAACTTAAATGTTAATTGAAATATTTTAGGTGTTAAACAACTGCTCAGTTTCACTTACTTTTGGGACATGATGCATTCTCGAAGCCTTGAAGTGCTTAACACTTTGAATATTTCAGCCCATAGAGATGACCCCCAGCTTGATGTTGTCACTGTTAACTCTGAAAGATTCTAGTCAGTTAAGATGTCCATTATGGACTCAGGAAAAAATCAATAGCCCCATTCAATTTTAAAAATCTTAGAGGAGGCAGCTGTTTGCAAACATTTATAAGGCCTAACCCATGATAATGGTCTTCCTACTTAATGCAGCCTGTGATATCTAGCACTGAGGGTGTTTGGCTATCATTACATCTGATTGAAAGGCTGGTCCCTTGCAAAATGGCTTTTGGAATTCCTAGGAATTCCTAGGAATAAAGGTGTGAATTTTCACGGTAAATTCAGACTGGGAGCTCTTAGGAATTCCCAAAAATAACAACTCTAATTCTAAAAACCTAGAAATTCCCAGAAATTCCAAGTTTATAGCAACAGGACTTGAAATTCCTAGGAATTCCTAGGAATTCCAACTCAGAGAACCAATGACTTTCCCTGAAAAGCTGTAAATCTAAAAAACTCCTTGGAATTTCTGGGAATCTTTGGAAATTTTTGGGAATTTTTGGGAATTTTTAGGAATGTTTAAGAATTACAGGGAATTTTAAGCAAAAATTTGAGGCTAATGATACAAAATAAATACTTTAAATTAAAAAAAAACCCAGCGAAAATTCAAGTATTCAATAAAATTTATTTAGAAGCTTAATTAAGGCTAACATGTAAAATATTTTTGATTAATTATTAACATCAACGTGTGGTAATATTAGAATGGAATTTGATTTATTTTTCTTTTCTTGAAAACTTCATACGGATTAATCCTCAATTACAGCTATTCATATAAAATAGTCCTAATCAATCATTAAATTTGGTTTGACACATATTGTGAATAAAATCTGTTGATTCTTTTCCATAAAATACAATATCTTAAATTATATTTGAAAATCAAGCACTCTTAGGAGTGAAGGGGTTAATTACTGACAAATAAAATTGATTTTTTGATTAAAATCTTGTTGTAACTGTAACAATAAATTAGAATGAAGTTATCCTAAACTGCAAACTTAGCTACTGTTTGTATTTTTTTCCTGGGCTCACAATGAGTTGGCCTTGAATGAGGTTGTCCACAAGAAGCTTGACCATTTTGTATCTGGATTCCATGACATCTGAATTTCAAAAAAAATATATATATTTAAATATATATATTTAAGGCTCAGACCAGGCCCTTAAGATGGCTATGAGGTTTAATGGCTTAACGAAGTAAACTGTTTACACTTCGGCTTTACAACACGATTGTTTCCTGATACTACAAATGATCTGTCTATATATGAAGTATGAAAGCTGTTTCACCGCTGACCACTCGTATTGAAGTCGTTTTTTCTATCCCCGCTCGTCGCCCGTGATGTAGTAACTCCCGGAGTCTTCTCTGTTTCCGATCACGGGCATGATCACGTGGATCTTTTAGGACTTGTCATTGGCTAGCAAAGTGAATCCGCTGGCTTGCCGATTGCAGTGTTGAGAGAAGGGCACAACTTTATTCTGACTTCTCCGATCGATTCTCTGCCTCTGCCTTACTCTCATATTTATAAAAGAAGGATACCACATTAGGAAGAATAAGAGATACATAGATGATCCCAGTGTACCAGTACCAAAATCTACAAAGCTTGACCGTAGCAAGCGTTCAGCAACACGTTCCAACACCGCCATCTCGATTCCTCAGTCAGTCGTTTCCACTGAACTTAAAGCAGTAGTGACAACAGAGTAGAGTGCGTCTTACAAAGGAGAAACATTTGTACAAGAGACAGAAGTAACTATATGCGATTACAGAGGTGCGTTGGAACTCTGGTTCACAAATAGTTATGCACTGTCCGAAGTATAAAACAATTTTGTTGATAGCTGACAGACAGAAAAGAACAACAAGTAAACTTTAGAGCTGCTATAATTGAAGTGTGAATTGCACTTTTCATTTTTATGTAAAGAAGGACTTGTATTTTGCACCAAAAATAAAAAGATGTAATATTTTTTGGGAGATCCAGTGATTGGGACATTTAAGAAATTAAGTTAGGAAAGGAAACTTGGTTGGTACTTCTCACTACTAACAAGTCTTGTTGACAAATATTTTCAGATCAGAGTTTCAAATAAAGTGAATTGAAGACGTCATTTAAAAGGTGTTTTTTCTCAATGGGAACATTGACTACCTCTGTCTTGTCTGCATGCCAAATGTTTGCAAAGTGTGTGGATCCACAGGTATTGGAACTCTTACAAAAATGTTTTGTAAGAATAAAAACAGCAAAACAAATTACAGCAATTAGTCATGAAAACAGAGCAAAAAACTGAAAAAAAAAAACAGCAACAACAATCATGAAAAAAGAAAGATTAATTAGGTGTTGAATTTGTTTGTCTGAGACATGAAATTTCTACTAAAAATATTGTCAACTAAAAGTCTCTGACAGTGTTTGAGGCAACTGAGCTTGACTGTTCCAAGGTTTTCTAACAAAGGCAACCAGTAATGTAGGTTAGGGAAGTAACTTATGTTCATAACTAACAAAGTTCTTTAAGTGTAGGTAACAATGTAATTATTGTTAATTATTGTGGAAGTTGTGTACCAAGGAACAGCCAATGAATGTTTGATGATTTTGGCACATTAGTGAACATGAGACATTAATTTGCATCACAATAAAAATATTTTTTGATCATGGAATCCAAGAGTCCTTCGAAGTTAGAAAGCAAATCTGTGATATGAGTACATTGGATTAATTGGCAATTTCCATTTAACATAACTGACTGCTGGTTCATGAGAAAATCCATATTAATGTAAAGATTTACTAAAACTTAGTTTGAATAATAAATTTCATGATCTTTAAGTTATAAACATATACATGTATGTATATCTCTTGGTAAGTTTTGTATAGCATACCTTTTATTGAGCTAAAGTTTTAAGCCTCTGAAATGACTCCTTTTCTTAAAACCTTCACATTCAAGGTATTGAGAATTTCTTAGAATTTATGTGGACCTCAGGGTATTTAAATTGCCTCAAATTCAATTCCCAGAAATTGTCAAGAGTTCCACACTTCTTAAATTATAGGTAGTTTGTATAGCTGAGAATTCCTAGGAATTCCAAGGGATTCCAAGTCCTCACAAAACTGGAGTCTTCCTTTCCCAGAAATTCCCAGTAATTCCAAGCAGAGTTAATTTGCATAGTAGGGAATTTTTGAGAATTCCTAGGAGGGAATTCCTAGGAATTCCCAGAAAACTGGGAATTCAATTTGAAAGGGTCATTTGCATAATTGGGAATTTTTGAGAAAACTGGGAATTCAGTTCGCAAGGGGTGTATCCTTTAATTATAATTTCATGTAGGATCAGCTCATTTTGCTTGAGAACTGCATGTTTGTATGCAAGCTATATGTTTCGGATTGTGGGGTGGATCAAGTTAGTGTACACTAACACAATGAAACTGGTTCTGCTGTGTAACTCTCTTGAGGCTCCTGATCCCTACAGATTTTTGGGGATGTTTCAGTGCTAGCGCCTCTAAGTCTCGAGTATAGACCATTATAAATCCAAAAAAAAGTACATTGCATTCTATAATAGTTTCTGGTTTCTTTTATAATAACTCCTTGCAAGATTTTGTAAATTGTTACTTAGATGACAAGCTACATCTGTACCCACTAAAATTCTTGTATTGTTAAGTAACCATTGATCAATTCACATACACTTACTAAGGATATCTTTGTTACAACTTCAGTTGGAAGCTCTCCAAATTGGAACCTCTTAAAAACTATACAAAGTTTAATAGGGCCTAAAATCATCAAGTGGGAACATGGAAATATTTTAAGATGCACAAGTAGTATTATCCACCTTTAGATGTTGGAACTTTTCAGACAAGCCACTCCATTCTTAAGGAAAATCAAATTTTTTCTTCTGTCTTTAAATTAGATTTTCCTCCTTTCATCAATACTCTCTCAGGTACTCTGGCTAGTGAGCTATTTTTTGCATTTCTTACTCAAACCTCTAGTTTTCAACAAGAATATTACTTCCAGTACAAAGATGAATCACGCAGTATTTTTTGTGTTGCCTCTCCACTTTCTACCTCTGCAATTCCTTTCCCATCATCTCCTGTAGTTTTTTAATAAACATCAGCACCTCTTGATGGTCTGGAAGATAGTTTCTTTGGTAATGTCAAACAAGCTCAAATCTTGTGCTAATTATAACTAGGAACTACTTAGCATGAATTTAAGCCACCTTCTTGTTCTTAGGTATTTCTCATTCAATGTTCTGGGTACTGCTTGTTTTGCATTTTCACCAAAACTAAGACTGGACCATGTTGTATAAACATTTCATCTACCTGTTTGCCTCGTATCAGCTATGGCTGATTTCACTTTAGTTTTAAGGATCAACCTAAATTATCTTGCCATAAGCTTTGGGAACACTTATAGCTCTCCTCTTTAGGGGGGGTAAAGTGTGTTCGTAGAGCTCTGATGAAATGACTCTGCCTCATTGTAAATGTAATGCCTGCGACAGATTGAGGATGTTTTTAATTTCCTGTGTGATAACCTCTCTGTCGAGAAGTAGCAAAACATTTCAGCACAAGTTATTAACAGTGGTCTCCGTACAGTCTATTCTTAATGCAGGAAATAAGTTCATTTTCTCTGCATTTGACTTGGGCTTATGAAAGGTTTATTTGTGGGTATGGTTCTTCAAAATGCAGAGGAAAAGTCAGAAACTCTCCCTTCTGCAAACTCCCTTTGCAGAAAAATCATGATGAACAATCAAATTATGCAATGTTTGATAAAAGAACAATTATTTCAAGGAGTTTAGTAAGTTCTCCTTTAAACTTTAGGTAATGGCAAGCATCATTCCGCATGCCATTGGTGTATTCTTTTTATCCCAAAGAATTCATGGTTTCTCTTTTGTCAAAATTTCGATTCTCTGGGTTAGGGATGCTTTAGTAGATCCCCTTTCAGGCTAAGTTCCAAGTGAGGTGTGGCTTGATTGGCTCTATTCCAATTTTTTTTTCCAGCAGTAAAAGTTTTATCAAGAAAATTGGGAGTAGCTTTATAGCCGGGGTCATTAGTTTAATTAGTGACTTCATGAATTATCCCTTAATTCCTTAGGTTGGTTGTTGGGGACCAATTGCTGGATACTTTTGATTATTTTATTGTAATTGGGTAAATTTTAAGACTCAGTCTGAGTAAGATTTGCTACGCCATATGAGGAATGACATAATTTCTTTTACCTTTCAGAGGCATTACTTATAAACCTCTCTTTAGGAGGAAAAAATTTCATTGAAGGATCCAATGCCACCATAACCTGTAAAGCTTCTGGGAAACCACCACCATATGTAGCATGGATTAGAAATGGAGTACTGGAAAGTTCAGGGAAGGAAGCTGCATCTTTGGAGTTCAATAATATAAACAGAACAGATGCAGGACAATATACATGTCAAGCCAATAACTCAATGGAAGTCACTTCCATTAACACAACAATTGTAGTTCACTGTAAGTATATTTTAACCTTAATTTTCTATATCTGAATTTAATTTATGTACAGTGCGACTCCTGTTATTAGGGTCAGTTACACAAAACTGATGAATCTGTCCAAAAGTGCAGGAAAACTGAATTCCACATCAGATCCTTTTTGGCTTTGTGCGCATTGGTCCTAAGTACTGGCTGGGACACTTGAATTTCAGTGGAATTATTACTCACATTATTTTGCTTAGGAGGACATGAAAATGTTTTTACCAAGTTGTTGCTTCAGTTGGATTGTGTTAAACTCAGAAAATGGCTTAAGGCCATTTCTGAGTCATTGTGACAACCCAAAGTTCACTCCATTTGACTAGTGCACAAGGCTATCGCAAAGGGCCTTGGTTGAAGCTTGATGGAAATCTGAGAATGGCCAAAATTCCAAGTGTCAGATAGCTAAGATAAGTGGATAAAAGCAAAAATGGACTAAAACTAAAACTAAAACCACATGCTTAAGATTTGTGCAAATATTTGCATGTATGGCATTCAAAAAGATATACTATTTAGAGGCAAGAATCCATTTTATAATTCATAATTTGAAGGCCTTGCCACCTTATACTGAATGCTTGAGTGCTACATAATACAAAAGTGATGGACTCTACAACTGAGTGATTACAACCTCAGGGCGTGAAATTGCGCCTAATACAGGCGCCAATTAATGCGACTAAATTTTTCACTTTGGCGACCAAATCCTGAAAGTTAGTCGCCAAATTGGCGACTACAACGTTTTATCATAACCTTACTAAGAGATATAGTGAATTAAATAAATTTGCAAGATAAATCCGCGGCAAACTTCCTCGTTAAGTTTGTTTCCAAAACGTAGCACACTCATCTCGATCGATAACTAGACGCCATCTTGGATTTAGATGAGCCTGAACGTTGTATATCATACATCCTAGTGTCCACTTTGTAGCACGTTAAAGATCTTTTCCCTAACTTAATTTTGGAGGGTCTATCTAGTACGCTGACAGCGTAAAGAAAGATTTTGTTTGTCTTTGAAAATGGCGACCAACTTTTTTTGAATTGGCTACCACTTTGAAGAATTTAGGAGCCAAGTGGCTATCAGAAAAAAAAGTTAATTTCACGCCCTGAACCTTCACTTTTTTCCATTTATAAAGACTGGGAAAGGAAAGACAAATGCTGTGCTTTTATAATTGATTTCCATGACTTTCTGGTTTGGGAGGTAGTTTGCAGAGTTGAATTGAGAATTAGCTATGAGTTAAGAAGGCATTTTTGTATGTCACCCTTTCAATTCATGGAAACAAGGCACAGCCATTTAACCACTGGTAATGCCAAAACTATTCACTTGTTCTGACAGAAACCTTCAGTTATAGTTACATCTTAACAACATTTATCCCAATCATACTCAGAATGTGCAAATTGAGATCATGTGACCTACCATATGACCCTGGAGGAGTCGAAATAGCCTTCTAAAACTGTTATAAGAATATTTATACATCTTCTATGGCATAAATTTATGAAATATCCCCTAGTATTCTACTATTATCTATGAAAGGGTTGCTCAGTCCACAGTTTCAGCCAAATGTTTGTTTATTAAGCTTAAGCAATGAGATAAATATAATTTTCGCCCAATTTACAATTTGACATGAAAAAGAGGGGCAGTCAGGTTACCACTGTTTGTGGCCATTTTTTATGGTTTGTGAAAAAAACTTCTGACTATAACATTAGCTCTTAATGGCAGGAAGCCAGGTGTGCTCAACTTCTACAAATTTTGTCGCATTACCAAGCATGTGACCTCCAAGGGGCCTAAATCTGCCCTCTTGCCATAAAGTGAAATCATACTTATGTCATCCTTCCAAATCTTGTATTTGCACTACCTATTACCTCAGAGCAATACATATTGCAACTAAAAAACACAATATCATAACTTATTTTGGTCTGTTGAGCTTTTCCATCGTTAATCGACTGAAAGCTATCCTCTTAAGTATGGATGCCTCATATGTCAACTATTTAACAGTTCCTCTTCAAAGATACTCTCTTCACAGCTTTCTTCTGAGTCACTGAGAAGGTTTACTGGTGCTAGTGCTTTTGTGATTGGCTGTGGTACAAGAACCTCCCCGTTCTTCATCCATCCATGACCCTCCGTTGATTTGAGATCCTGCATAGCTTCAAGGGCATGACTCCACATGAATGCTTTGTAGTTTGATTGCTTCAGATGTTGAAGTAGACAATCAGTTGTTGGTGGAAGCATTTTGTTTTTCTTGCTTATTCTGGCAGAACATGTGATAACGTAATTCATCTGCAATGCTTGTCTTTTTGCAGTCATGTATAAGCTGCAAACAAAGGTTTCGCTTTTGCCACATCTGTAGAAAGCAACCAACAGGAAATTGCATAGGTTTACCTAGTGTCAAAAACGTAGCATTCATGGTTAAGAATAAACATACATCAAATGCAACAAATGTTGATTGCTACAACTCTAAATTGCTGGTAACGAAACTAGAAACCAATGGTGGGAATAAAACATGCTGAACTAAATAATTAAAGCCATACCTTTTTTTTGGATTTACAAGATACTTTCCCCATGGTACTGGAGTGGCAAGACCTCTGATTTGCATTTTAAGGCCAATGAATGTTTCCCTTTGCTGACGCCCTCCTTTTGTGAAGTTGCTCAGTATTGGTAAAAGACCATGAGGACTTTCAGAAAGTTGCTAGAAAAAAGGGGGGAACTGAAGATGTTGAAATATTTTTGTAAGAATTCACCAAAGGTATCTGCTCCAGAAGATTTTGTCGACTGTAGAACTGCCATGCCATTGATAACAACAACCTGAGGATTTGTCAATGCTGTAAGTTGCTGAACTACATGAATGTCTTTCTAGAGAAGAGAGCATAGTGTGCTCTTAACACCTTTTCTAAGACTCCCATTAGTGAGTGAATATGGGATTGAAGACAGGTCAAAGCTCAGCACATCTTTCAGGCAGATTGGATGAGATGAGGAGCTTGACAAACAAATCCTTGTTGGCATTAACAGTAATTAGCTTATTGCTGGATTTGACTCCAACCTTATTTGCTCTGCTGAACCTAGGATCTTGATGTTTGGAATTGGCTCCCCAGAAACCCTAGCAGGGAATCGAAAGAAAATATAAAGCCGTGTGGTATATGAAGCTTAAATCACTAAGTGGAAAACTGTAGGTTTGAGTCAATGAATTTATATCAGTGGATGTAAATTGACAACTTCTGCTTAAATAAATTCTTCATTTCTTCAGTTTGTAAGCCATATGATAAAGTCAATGGGATCATTCAACTTTCTTCACTGAGCCTGTGGAAAATAGTTGCTTTAGTATTATTGCTAGAGTGCTTTCAAATTATGTTGTAAATTTGTTTTGTAAATTAAAAATTGTACATTCTGCTACAATAGTTTGGATTACTTGTATTCTGATAAGCAGGCATTTTTTATTTATATATTTATATTTGAAATATTGTGTAGGAGAAACATTACCTCTGTTTAAAATTTACTCTCTGAGAGTTCCGTAATTTTTCTCTTGATGATCGTTTGTTAACATCTTGCTGCAACTCACACGGCTGGAACTTGATACTCACCATTTGCGGAGGTCATCTTGGTAGCTGGAATTACAAATGAGGGAGGTCAGCTCTGTTTTGATCTAATGGCATACTATTAATTGAGTGGTAAGTTCTGATAATTGATTGTAACCCTATTGTTTTGAATTAAAGACTGTAGCTGTTGATTGGCTGCTAACAAAATTGACTGTAGATTCAATCTTTGTGTTTACATCTTTCATTCTGGGATGACTGATTCATCTACTGCAATAGGAAAAATGTACACGTGGTCAGCCAACTTTGGTTTATGAATCCATCTCATTGCTCTGAACTTCTCCATCAAGGGATTTTATTGGGAACTTATAGAAATTTTGAAATTGTAACCTTGAGCTTCCAAATAGATACGTTGTATAAGATCATTTTGACCAAATTTAATTTTGCACCCAAAAGGAAATTGCACCAAAAAGTCTAACTGCTTAAGCAAGTTACAGCTAAGTTTGTTTTACAGTGCAAGCACTTGAGGGACTTTAACGTAAAACCTAACGGTGATGACAACATGGACATCATAAAAAACAAAAGATGTAATGGGCAGAATAACAGTTCAGCACATGCCTTTTAAAACTTTGTACATTTCTTATCTGTCTTCTGACAAACAACAGTGTGAAATCAGCAAAATTTGTGTTGTCTGTGAATGAAAAGCCCAACGGCAAATAATCTGCTTCCATCTGGAACCCAATGTGGCTCACATATGTTATGCTGAATTTAAAGTGAGACATCATTAGAAACTGAACACATTCAGCCATTCATGTGTGAAATTCCAACTAAAAATCTAAATTCCTTTTTTAATTGACATCTACCTCAGCATTGCCAACTGCCAAAGGTCCATAGTACTGATTAACTGTCTGCAAACTTCTGGAATAGAAAGTCAGACTGCCTTGGTACATTTCAAACTCATGAAGTTAACCTGTGGGTAATTGGGAAGAACAGCTCCCCTCCACCGACAGTTGGCCAACTGTCGGCCAACAGTCTGCCGACTGTAGGCTGACACTAAACCGACAGGCCACCAACAGGTTAGCGACAGGCGGTGAAATAACTTTACTAGTGTATTTTTGCACTTAAAAATCGATGTAAAACTTACTGTAAATGCTTAAAATTTTTCAAAATGCCACTAACACTTGAATGTACACGAACATTCCCTGTGTATTAAACGAAAGTGTGTTAATATTCTCCATCAAAAAGTGCAGTTAAGAATCACCCTATAATGCAATGCAATCGTTACCGACAGATCACCGACAGTCGGTCAACTGTTGGCCAACAGATGTCCTGCAGGAAGTTATCTTTTCAGGAAAATCTAAATAAATCTGTCAGTCAACTGTTGGTAAGGTGTTGGTCGACAGTTGGCCAACTGTCGGCCAACAGTTGGCTGACAGATTGCCAACAGTCGGCCGACAGATTACCAACAGTCAGCCAACAGATAACCAACAGTTGACCAACTGTCGGTGAGAGGAGCTGTTCTTCACAGTTACCAACCTGTGTACCTCACAAGATTGTTTTTGATGAGCTGTCACAAGACAAATTGATGATTGGACAGTTTTTACTCCTTGGGTATCATTAGCCGACTTAACAAGTTAAAATGTAGCTGATTGGCTAATTTTTTACCAATCAGTTCATTCCAGATTCTCCTTTTGTGTTTTTAGCCTGTGTTGAAAGGACATAGCTTGTTTTCTTGATGCTTTTAATAAACTTCCCAATCATAAATGGCAGGAGGCAGACCAGTTGCCTACAGATAAAGTGCAGCTAAGGAGTTGAACACGGGACAACCGAGAAGATTGGCGGATGACTTGCTGCAATTTTCCTTTCCAAAAGCATTATATTTCTTGCCCAGGGCACTCCATTGATTGATACGAGATTAACCCACACACATGATTAATACTTCCTTATTGCATTATTATACCCCCTCTAGACTATTACAAGGGATTATGATTAATAACCAGGGGAAATGTGTGAGTCATGAAATAAACAGAGATTAAGATTTTGATTTACATTTTTAGACAAACCTGAAGGTGCAAGGCTCACTACCAATGCTTCACAAAATACCATCATTAAAGGAGATACAGTTACATTCAAGTGTACAGTTATGGCTGCTGTGCCACAAGTGTCAATTTACAAGTTCTACTTCAATGGCTACCTCTTCAGTAATAACAGCAACAGTGAGTATACTCTCAATAACGTCAACCAATCTCAGCACCATGGCGAGTACAAATGTGTCCCACATAATGCTGTTGGAGATGGAGCAGAAGCCACTGTGAGACTTAACATAAATGGTGGGTAGAAATGTCTTTGAGCATTTTTAAGTACTTTGGACACATAATTCAAAAAACATTTTTTACCTTTTTACATCACATCAATGAAACTTCCAACACTCTGAATTATTACATCCCTGACCAGAGAAGAAAAGAGACCCTAGTAACAAGGCTGACACGGTTGTGCCTGCCCTCCCTCCCTTTACAGGCTTTTCCTGGGAGTAATGGGAATGAGTGCAGAGTGTGAGGTGGGTTAGGGGGAGGAGAAAGAAAGTCCACCTGAAGAGGTGACTCCCTCAGCTTTCCACACAATGCTCCTCCCCAAGGTACTTTGGAAAAGGGGTGGTGAAGGATGCCTGTCTCAGAAAATTTAGCCAGGGCTTAATAGTAAATGGGTGCCTAATGGCTAAAGTTGTGCCTGATAATAATGAACTGGTACTTAATAATGATGAACAGTTGCCTAATAATGATGGGCTTGTGCCTAATAACAAAATGGCAGGTGCCTAATAATAAAAACCAATAACTTATTATGATGAACTTGTGTCTAATAACAACGAAACAAGTCTAATAATGGTTCACAAGTGCATCATAGAAACAAAACAATGATTTGGCAGGAATGGCACCCCATGGTGCTTGCCAGGCTGAAGCAATTATCCTGTGTCCACTAAAAACTGTAAACTTATGCTTTTCATCAGAATATTTGCTTTTCATTGGAATATTTTAAAACTGGTGCAAATTATGATTAGCTGATAAAGTGAAAGTTTGTTTCCTTTTTTTGTTTTGTTTTTGTTTTTTTTCAATATTTTTTTAGTGTATGAAGAGGATGATTTTGAACCAAATCGCACTCTAATGTTATGGTTTGAAAACTCTTTTGTTCTTCTCCTCTTTTCAAGTTCCTGTCCAGTTCACAGAAGTGCCACAGAATATAACAGTTAAAACTTCAGCTCCTCTGTTTTTGAGCTGTGATGCCTCTGGTTTTCCTGACCCTAAGATAAGATGGGAAAAATCTGGGATTAAGTTATCAGACACCAAACAGCTGAACATCTCTAGTAGTAACAGGAACGATGCAGGAGAATATGTTTGCATCGCAAGTAATGGAGTGAGACAGGAAAAGACAGTAAGAGCTTATGTCACTGTGCAATGTAAGTCTTTTTTTCAATATGTCATAAAAAGCAGTCACAGCTGTTGAATAAATGATACAGTCAGACTTATATTAAGCAGCACCATATTAAGCGGTCACCCTGTATTCAGTGGTCAGTGGTCAGAGTCCCAAATTTTTTTCTCCTTAATTGTTGTAATTTTCACCTCTTTATAGTGGTCACCTCTATAATAAGTGGTTGTGGTCACTCTGAGTGAGTGACAACAGCCTGTTTGTGTTGTCTTCCACCTGTAACGAATGGTCACATAAAGTGGAACAACTCGATTAAAACTAAGGATGATTTTTTTGTGTAAATTCAATCCATGTTTAAAACAGGTTTCATTATTGTACAAAATAACCAACTGTCCAACTATGGCAAGATTTTTTAACTTGATTTGTGCATTATTTGTACTCTCTTAGGTGCAGTTGGATAATAAATATATGTTAATCATAGGCCGGGAGGTCAGTATTGGGGAAAACTGTTCCCAAAGTCTTTAGTACTGCCAAAGGCAGTACACAAGACAGACACAAGACACACAATTCAGACCAACCTAGACTGGTTAAGAACATTTTTAATTTTTTCTTGAAGTTAGCAAAACACTTGCCAAAAGAATATGAATTGATTTAGGGCTGTAATTATGGCAAGATCCTCCATAAACTGAACAAACCTTGAGCGAGTAAATTGTAGTTAAAATGGAGGTAATGCAAATTAAAAGAGACGTAAAACATTGTTATTTGCATTATGATGTAGGTGATTTATAAGGCTTCCAAACAAACTTTGAAACATTATTTTTACAAGTATCTGTCACTATCTGACACCTGTCAATTAGAGAACACTTGGAAAAAAAGTGCATGTACACTTTCGAAAAAAAGCTCATTAACTCTCACAACAATTTTTTCTTCAAAAACAGTCAATGTTCTTAGGTAAAGTATTATTTACCTCCATTAACAACTAATGTACAAAGATTACCTCTGTTCAGTCAGTAAATGACAACAAAAGTCAGTGCAAGTAAATTCAAATGTAAGTTTTGAAGTTGTGAGAGTTTGCTCGTTTGTTTGCTGCAATGGGCGTGTGTAAATCTGGTCTTTCTTCCACCCAGAAACTAAATTCAACTGAGACACTTTTACTAGATACAACAAGAGTCAATACGACCTTTTCTCAGTGAGTTTCTTTCAATTTGGTTTCTGCTCTGCAATTTACAGTACAAATGTCCAAATTAAACGGACTTGGAAAAAGTTATTGAAAGCGTATTTGTAGCAGAGCTGAAAACTTTACTCACCCATTCACAACGAACAAGAGAGAATTCACATAATACATAGATTTAGCCAAGCCTAAAAGCAGAGCGTCAGTAAGTTTATTTTCTGGCCCTTCACTTTATTAAAGTCCTCTGCAGTCGTTGTCAAAGAGATTATTGAAGGGGACCAGCTGGGGTGGGGTATGGAGGAAAATTGGGGTCTGAATTGAGGGATGGTGTTTTCACAACTTAACAAAGTGACCAGCATACGTGCTAGTCAGCGGTATTTTCAAGCAGATGAAGACCTCTGTAGATATTCCTGATGTTTTGAACAGATTTTCGAGGATAGGGAAAGTTTCCTTCTTCAGATGTAGTGTATGATGTTAGTATCAGTTGAAATGATATTCTATTGAAATGAATTAAAATATGAGTTTGCGAAAACGAGCCAAAATTAAAGAAACGACCATAAACGACTTCGAGTTAAGATATCAGCATTCAATTGTAGGGTATTCACCTGAGAACAGTGAGTCGGTGAAACAGTACTCCGGAAGTGTATGGGCTTCTCTTATATCTTCTCTTGGTGTCGCTTGGTATGACTGTTCGCTCTGCCAATTTTTCTCGAATGTGTCAACCTTCTCTAGAAAGCATTTAACACATAGATGTTTAGTAAATATATCAAGTACACCAAAGGTACCATTGGTTTTTTACCCAAGAGTCCATTTTCACTTTGTAAAAGCTCTTCCAAATTCGAAACATTCGCCATCTTGAATGACGCCATCTTTCCTGTGACGTCACGGGTGGAACCTCCAAAGTTTCGTTTTGTGATCGCGTGAGACACGAAGGAGTCTTTTCCACAGCCGTTGTTTGGTGGTCTCATCATGATTTTTTTACTTAAAGTTTGCTTCAATGTATTCAATTTTTTCATAATGGTAAAACGTTGTGTCGTCCAGTTTTGTACTGATTCAAACAAAACTGGGCGTACAATGCAAATATTTCCAAATGACGCAAATTTGAAGCTACAATTTGTGAAATTTGTTCTCGTGAAAATAGCCGATTTCGTAGAGCCGTTCGAACATTCTGTTGTTTGTAGCAGTCATTTTTCTTCCTGGTGCTGAACCGACGACTCAGACCCTACCAGAAGCAAATTATTCGGAAGTATGAAAACGACCCATACAGTCCGTACAGTTGAGCTCTTCAAAAGTTAGAGATCAACAGAGAAAGTACAAAATCGATTTACATGAAAACGTTTCGTTAATTAAACAACAATAGCTTTATTGGTTCTCTAAAAACATCTTTTTTCTCATCTAATGAATGATTATGGGGAAGCCAGTTGTTCGGGAGCCAGCGCTGAGCCCATAAAAGACAATGACCTGTCTGAACCTTTGCATGAATTCAAAACACGTGTCAAAGAAAGAGAATTCCTTGATGTCGGTGTGTAATAACGTGATCTGGAATTTTGTTGGTTCGATATAAAGAATTTTATACAGGATCCCATAATCAACCCTTATGTTCTATAAGGGAATCCATGCCAGCCCCACTTGTTGCTTCCTTTGAGAAACCTAGCAGAGAAACAGTAGAAGAATTTGTCTCACGGTTTTCACAGCAGTGAAAGTATATTCAGAGGTCAGTAGGACAATATTTATCATTTTGAGTACAACTTAAAAGATCCTAATTTCAGCATGCAAAACTATCTTTTCAGTATTTCAAATCGAATCAAACACAAACAGGGTTGGATAATTATGAAGGCCACACCAGGAAATGTACATGGTACAACTTGTTTATCGATGGAAATGCTTCGCAGATGAAGGAAAGCAATGCATAAGTATCTCGTAAAGAACGGGCACAACCGCCAGTGCAGTAAGACACAGATAACTAAGATCTGCATTAACATGTACCTTTGTTTCTTCGTTAAGGTTTTGCGGTTTTAATCCAATGTAAGACGATCCAAAATCCGCTGGAAAAATGTTTCGGATTTTGTTTACCGCACAAGATGGCACAGCTATCCTGAAGTGTTTGCCGAGATAACCCCAACACTGACGAACAAGCTATCCGTAGACAATTTAGCGAAATTCTCCTGCCGGGAAAGAAGTGAAAAACAACTAGCTGTAGTATTGTATTATTAAATCAATGGCAGAAACAACTCAAGCAAAACGATCTCAAAATGTAACAAAACAGATGAAACAGAAAACATTTAGCTTACTTGTTTCCGGTGTGATTATCTGAGCCTTACTGCTGCCTATACGTGTAATAGGCCGTCTCCAGCACCCAGAAATCGACTGAAAACCTGGATGCTCAGTGATACAACTTATCTGGATTACAGGCCCTTGCTCATATACTTTTTGCCACAATTGCCCGATTTCCTTACAACAAACACTTTCATGAGTTGTCGGAGTTGGTTGACAAGTTCCACACTCACGCCGTTGATAATTTTACACAAAACACCCTCAGAAGCTCAGGTTTTAAAAATTTCTGTTGTATTCTTTTAGATTGTACCCTTGCTTTATTGGATTTTCATGGCAAATAAATCTCACAGTAAATTAAACATCAGTTTGAGTTTCCGAGGAGGTCGCATCGCTGTCAACATAATAATTTTTCCAAGCCCTGAATAGGCGAGGAAAAAATACAAGAAACGAGCAAGATTTCCGCTCGTGTTATGTGTTAAACCATCGAATGAGAGATTTATTATTCCACTATTATTTTCAGTTTTTAGTATTTTAACTTTTAGTGTGCGAATTGCATCCTACGGCTTTATCTGTGCATCGTATCCATTGCATAAGATATGCGCGAAAGATGGAAACAACCAGAACTAAAGCATTCAAATGTCCTTTGTGTTCTTTTGTGCTTAAAAGTTCGCTTCTTTAAAAGTCAAATGTAAAAAACGAAAAAAAAAAAAACGATGTTTGGATCGTTCAGTGCTGCCAATATGTTGCGACTTATTTTTGCCTTGTTTTAAAATGTAATACTGTGGCATATTTTGCCTTCCTCATTACGTTATTTGGTAAAATGACACAGTAGTGGAATGATAAAGCTCATTAATGTTCTGATTCATATGGAGTATCACCAATTAGTTATTCAATTGCTTATTGCATTTGTATTCATTCTTAGACCCGTCCACAATTCAAAATGTTACCACGTCATCTAAGAAGTCTTGGATTGGCCAGACAGTGACTTTGAAGTGTCTTTCTGATGGTGTTCCTACACCAACACTCTCTTGGTACAAACCTGAAGGAAGTGGAATAAACAATGTCACAGCCAGAGAAAACGAAGTACAAGTGCAACTCAGGGGTGATCAAGATTTTGGTCATTACAAGTGCATTGCTGCCAATGGACTTCCTCCATCTGATGAGAAATTAATAAAGATAAATCAGATAAGTAAGTAAAAAAGATCAGTGTATTGTGATAAGAAGAAAACTATATATAAAGTCAGCATTTTCTTTTGCCATTGCTCATTATCACTGTTTCAGGTGCAGTAGAAGTAAAAACCACATTTTCTTACAAAGCACTCGACAGAGTAACTTATTCACTTTGTACATCTCATTCGATGATTTAACATTTAATACGTGCGGATATTTTGCAAGGCTTATATGCGTGTGGAAAAAACATATGCTAATGTTAAACCATTGAGTGAGGGATTTATCATTCTACTATTCTTTCATTTACTAACAATTTGGCCGCCTAGATTTCGACATACATCCTGCGGCCTTATCTGGGCGCTCCGTTCGCATTTTTCTCCTCTTTAGCTGCGTTTGACCTACACATATTTTTCGCGTTCGTTACCCAATGAGGTATAAGGGTGTAATGGTGGAATTATGCCAGATATTGTTAGCCTGATCTTTTAGTGGGAAATACACCCAAATTTATTAAAAAAAAAAAGGTTTAAAGTAAACTGTCGACACCTTGCCCTTTGGTAGCATTAAACACGTCACAAAGAGCACTGAACTTTAGGCAGATTGATGACATCTTCCCATGCGGGTATCTATAGGAAACTTCCTCAACCATGGACTATAAATTTTTTCACTTTTTATGAGTCTCTTGGCTGAATGTATCCGGTAGCTACATTTATATTCATTAATTACATGTTAACGCACTCAGCGAATGAACTATGGGGATTTACCTGCACGAGTTCACGGACTATTACACCACGATAGTGAAGTCAAGGAGGTTGTTTCGTCACAACCCAGTATCACATGGTAAAATCATCTAATCAGAAAATCGGAATTCGAACAGTGTATGAAAGTTGAATAATAAACTGTAAGAAGACGTGGACTTGCATTCATCCTTAGTGTTGTGACAAAACTCAAAATAATCTCTTTTCTTATGGCACTATGTAGAGAAACCAGGGAAAGCATCCATCAAATCAGAATCAGTCATTCAAGCAACTTCTATAACAATAGAATGGACTGCACCAGCTGATGGAGGAAGTCCAATTACAGGATTCCAAATGATCTTACAAAAGGATGGAACTGAGATAGAAAAGGTTAATATCACCGATCCTGGGACGACAAGTTATTCGTTTCCTGGTTTGGAGAAAAATACCAACTACACAGTGAAACTGTTTTCCAGAAATTTTGTATTCGAGGGAGATCCTACTGTATGGAACATTAAGACCAAGTTTGAAGGTGAGGAATCAAAAGTGATATCGCGACTGAGCACTTTGCACCAATCATTTTTTCGCCAACTTAGATTTGCTGTGAGTAACCCAGTTTTAACAACGTTATCTGCTTGCTGCATTATAAGATTTTGGATTTTCAGCGTTTGTCCCCTGCTTAGTGGCCAGTTTCCTTTCCCTTCGTGATAATTGTTTTAGAGATACCTACGTTTGAAGAAGCATAATAATAAACAATGAAAAACCAATGATCGTAGGTGAGAACAATAGACAACCTACGCGGTTACGTTCCGTAAATGTTACCTGATTTATCAAGTATTGTTTGCCTTGTCGTTTTTTTTTTATTTTCTGATGTTCACGTTTCAAAATCTGCAATATGAATCAGCCACAACAACAGCCGCTACATAGGGACCTTAGGTTAGTTGGATACATTTTTCCTAAACTCTTACTGACCATATTCAGAACGCCCAATAACCAACTATCCCTTTAGACAGTGAGACGATTTCCACACATCGTTTGACCAAAGAATTGAAGTTTGAAGAAATGGGCCTTTCATGAATGTCGCTTCTAATATGCAAATATTATGGGGAAATCTCGTCAAACAGTGTGTGGACGGCCTAGAAGAATCCTTCGTATATTTTCTTTAAGATGAGAAATAGCTTATTTTCATTTTGCAGGGATTAGCCCAAACCAAAACTATTATGGTTGCCGTTTTCAAGAAAGTTTCTTTCGAATCTCATCCGGCACATATCTCACTCAACAAAAAAACTATTGTGGTAACAGGTGTGAACTTAGTAACTGAATTTGAGAAGCCGTAATATGGCAATGAAGTTCGTCGCACCTGTTATCGCTTAAGCGCTTGTTGTCATTGCCTCCTCGGTTGGCAAACCCCCTGAAGAAAAAAGCTTGTTGTCTCGGCGGAAAAACCCGCGCCAGCTTATATTTGCAGAAGAAGAATCGTAGGCCTGTACTTAATCATGCGCCATGTCAAACTTTTCAAAAGCGGAAAGTAGTTGCACACGAACTGAGATCCTTTCTGTAACTACGTGACACAAACGAACGTCGAATTGTGACGTCATCTATGCATCGGTCCTTCATTTGATCACGTGTAAATAGCAATTACAATGCCAGTAGAAGTCAGTGTATCGTTCAAATTCACCTTATAAATGCAGTATTTGTTTTAGGCAATAACCGACCATCATTTTAGGCTTCTCATTATCACTTTTTGTCCTTCAAATTATTTGCCATACACTTTCGTCTTAGAAATATCCCAAACAAATCCTCGACCAGTTTACAGATTAGTTAATCATTGATAATGGTTCTGACCAGGTTTGTAACAAGAAATTATATAATTATTAGAAATTTCACGGTGTTCGTGTCGTTGACATCAATCTAGGAGCCCCAGATGTGGTCGAAATAGACGAACTGCCAGATAAAACAACAGACGATACAATTACCCTAAAGTGGAAGGAGCCAGAAAGTTATGGAAAAGTTATAACCATGTACACAGTGTACCAAAGAGTAGTGACTGATGGGAAAGTCGGACATTGGATAGAAGTAAGGAGAATCAGAGATGTTTCTGTGAGAGAATTGAAAATAGCGTTGGAGAGAGGAAAGGTGTATCAGTTTGCCATTACTGCAACTAATGAGTTTGGTGAAAGCCTGAAACAAGAGAGAGCAAACATCCAGCAAGTCAAGACAGAAGGAAGTATGTTCAAATGAATCTTATTTTCCCCTTTCAACGGTTTATCCTTTTCTTTACTTAGTTTTCCAGGACTCTCCGTGTCATGAACATCGAGGTTTTTACGGGTGAGTTCTTCGCTTGTAAGAACCTTAATCAATGAGAAAAATTTTTACTTACGTCGCAGTTGATATTTGTGTGCCAACTGAAAATATATGGCATATCTATTAACTGAGATTTTAATCATTGGCTGGCACACACAGATATTTTAAGTCTGACACATGCTGATCTGAATCTGGTAAGAGAAGTCTGAAACACTTTCGTTTAATCTTCTTACATTTAAATTAACTGCTTTTTTCTTTCCTTTGCCGCCATCACTTAGCTGATGCATCTCTCCCACATTAAAAAATTTCACTCTCCCACACTGAATTCCGAGAACTCTTCTGTCATTTTCACCACCACGGCACTTTATTTCTCATACCGGTGAAAGCGACTTAGAACTTAGCCTCCTCTGCGCACCGTAATTTCGACACCAGATTACTGAACCGCGAGAACTCAGAATTGTCGGCGATTTCGCTTTAGCTTAATTAAGAATGTATAGTCACGCTGCCTCACGCTGCGAACAGAGAGGTTGTCTATCTTTTCACAGGTTTTCTTCGGTGAGGCTACAGAGCGTGACGCAAACTTCCTGTCTCAAGGTCATGAAGGGGTATTCATTTTCTTAGGTCTTATGTCTTATTTTTCGGGGATCTTCGTTTTCGCTACAAACGTAGTTCACTTTCTCTTTGTTGATGATCTCTTTTCAGTCTCTTTTCTGGAGCTCTTTTTATTCTCTTCTCACATTGGTCTTCGCTAGATATTCGCCATTCTACTTTACCCTTTTCTTGTTCTCTATCGTCATCCCCTCGCTGTGTTCTGCCTATTCTTCGCCCTATCAAACCCCATTTCGCGTTTTTCTCGACTCGCTCCACGCCTTTTAAGTTCTTTCTCTCTTTGGTCTCTCTCTCTTTGTCTCTTCTCTTTATTTCTTCCTTTTGGAAAAGGGAAAAGCTTTAGCTATGACTATCGTTGCTTTGCAAGTTTATTAGAAATTGCAAAATACCAAGAATCACTTTTCAACAACAACCTCACCAGTATGATTTCCCGCTCAAAACACGGGTTGCAAATTCTTTCCTTGCGCTGCTTCACATCCTCTAACCAACATGAAACCTTTCTAGGTTTCTACAAATATCTTTGAAGTTGAATCTTAAGTCTCTTATTGTTATCAAGTTTGAGATGAGATATTCTAGTTCTAGCTTGTCTTCGTTTAAATCAAACTTTAGCAGCGCAAGAAACAGAAACAAGACAAATTCCGTATTTCAGTGGCTAGAGTTGCCATGATCATTGAAATTTGGTTTAAAGAAGACAATCGTAAAACACGAATAATCTGAAGAGAAGAACTGAAAAAATATCAGGTTGAAAGTGACTATTCTTTTTAATTTAGTACAACTATCAGAGGAGTTTGACACATTAGAGAAAACTGTGGAGTGAAAAATCATTACTGGCGACATAAAGAGAAGATATAAGAGAAGCCCGTACGTTTCTGGCGTATTGTTTCACTGACTCACTCTTCTCATTTATACCCATCTATTAGTTGACCGGTAATCTCTTAACTGGAAGTTGCTTATGGTCGTTTCTTTCAACTCTGACTCATTTTCCCAAACCAAAGTTCACAGTAACGCTCAATGAAATATCATTTCAACCGACGCTGACATCATACACGACATCTGTAGAAGAAAACATTTATTCTGAATCTGTGCGCACTCTGATTGCCTTGCATCATGGTCGCAAAAGTAAAACTGAAGCCCCGTTTAAACGATCAGGATAGTTGAAGATAGTGTCAACTATCAAGCGCGTTTGAACACGAACTGTCATGTTCTATCATCGCATTTCATCAAAAATCATGTAGTTTGGACATGTTCAAATTCGACATGATAGTTAATGATAGTTTTTGCTGTTTGAACGAGAGAAGGATAGTGAATGATAGTTGTTAGGTCAGCAGTTTTGCCCAAAAACGGGCTCAAACCGAAATGGCAACGGTAAAATGACTAAAATAGCCGTCGAAATTTCCCAGAATGTCTCGTAGTTAATTCCTATCATTTCCTGGTAGGCTTCAGTATCTTTAACTTGTAACTTCTTGACTAAAATTTCAAGTGCCGCTGAAATTGCTGACCTCAGCGCGCACCGTATTTGTGTACAATTACGCGATCTCATTGCATGATATTTTGTCAACTATCATTGACTGTCATGGACCGTTTGAACACAAACTTGATAGTCAATGATGTGAATGAAAGTTGCAGCTGTCATTCAGTTGTCTATCATCAACGATCGTGATCGTTGGAACGGGGCTTAAGTCATTTGCATCTTGTCGCAGTCGAGTGAACATCTTTTATGGAAGAGAGAGTAGCGAGAAATGTATATAATGGGAATTCACTGTCTGTTGCCGCTCCTTCGTTAAAAAGGAAAGTTAAAAAGAGTTGAAGGGCCTGTGGGCTCTCGTAATTCTTCCGCGACCAAATTCGTTCTTAGGAGGCAACTAAAGAGATTCAGAAAGAATCGAAACAGCAGTCTTGCTTAAGAATCTTCACGAACGGCAGCAATTACACTCCCAGCTGATGGCTGTGTGAATGATATCGAATTCAGAAATTGCATTCCTAGACGGGACTTATTTATAATGACAGGGAATCGACCCTTGACATGCAAATGTATTACAAAGAGATAGAGTCATCCACCAGGCGTAAATAGGGGGCTGGAATTTGAGGTCGCTACGTTGATCACTGTATCAGTGCTACTTTTTCCACCAGAGAGGAACTCAGTCATTTTTTAATTGCGGTCAGTTACTTTCATTGAGCTCTAAAATAGATCTAGGAAATTTCTGACACCTCTTTGGCTTCTTCGAAGTCAAAGTTAACAGATAACAGTCTATGCATCAGTGGGTGTGCTACAGACCCACGATGTCTCATAGTTTTGTCATCTTCAAATCTATCACATGTGAAGAATACCATTCCTTGTTCTCAGTGTCTTAGGCTTCATAGCCTATTTATTGACAGTTCTGATTTTCCAAGATGTCAGAGGTAATACGCCAGTTCTTCTCCTACCCTTGTCATTCAAGGGAGTCTTAAAAAACTGATCGAAAGTCAGCATTCTACAAACGTCACAGAAGGAAAAAAATGATCGTATTCCATTTTGCCGGCAAGACCTGTCCCACTAACAAATTTAAATTAATTCAAAATGATCCAAAAACTGGTATATTATTTTCGCATAAAACATAGACAACTATTTGGTCAGAAATACTTTCTAAATAAATGATCAACCCGAGGCTTTCACCTTGCGTGCATGACACAAGACTTTTCCTTTCATAAATAATGTTGAGACTGCCTCAACCAATGTCATCTATGTCATAACTTGCGGTTATTTCAAAAAGTTATACTTCGGCGAAAAAGGAAGACGACTTGGGGAACGATTCTGAGAACACCATCGTGACGCAGAACACAAGAAAAACAATATCTCTCAAATTGGCCTCCCTTTCGTACATTTGATGATAGTGTTCTTTGTAAGTAAAGGCTTTATACATGAGTTCAAATGATAATTATTGTGCAAACAAACAAACAAACGTTCATTTTAAGTCGTATTTTGTTTTTCCCCAATTCAAACAGTAAGCTCAGAAGTTTACCTGACAGCGACAATACAGGAGCACTGTAGCAGACGTTCAGAAGTTGCTGCGAAATTTCCAGAAATGGTTAGATAATCTACTTGATTCATATACTGGAGTTTATGGAATACTGCCATGAGATTTATCATGAAAAGTGAACCTTAATCAATCTGTTCTTGAATGAAATGGTAATATTTCTGTTAAAAAGGATATTTTGAACGATCTTCAATATGTGACAATATTGATATGTCCTTTCAGGCTTGTCAAATTGCCTTTAGGTTTGGCTGCTCCTCCGCCAACACTGTGAACACCAGGTAAGTTACAGGTTGTTGTTTTACACTGAAACAACAAACGCAAATTTGTGTTTTGGAAGGGGGGAGGAGCTTTTTCTCAGTGTGTTGTATTTTAGCGGTAAAACTGGTTTTTCTTCTCGAGCAAATCTTATTTAATGCAAGATAATTTACATTTAATATACAGTAAGATATTGGCACAGAAGGATACGAATTAATTTTATTTACATTAATTTATTACATTGGTTAAATCTCAATATATTTTGACACTTGAAAGTCACCAAAGTACAAATATGTGTGATAATACTCTCTGCTCTTTTCCGCCCCCCCCCCCTTATCTAGGTGTGGCAGTGTTGTTCTTGACTTCATGATGAGATTCAATCAAAGTGTAGTCGTCAGCAATGTTTTGATTCTCCTGTCGGATGCTGCAAGGCAAGACAGATTCGGAGGTTTTAAAGTCAATCCAGACTCAATTAAACAAGTTTTAATACCCACGGATGGCTCGGAAAGCACAACAGAAGGTAAATTTTTACAAAGAAATCGTTAAATGGTTACAAGTATTCTTCCGGGCTGTTTATAATTGTATTCCGTATCTGTTTAATTAAACAACTTATTCTGTGACTGACATATTTCCATGTTTTTGTTTTTTTCGATGTTGTTGTTTTATTTAAGGTCCTGAAGAATGCAACTGCCCATCTAACAACGTCTTGTTGGCCATAATTGGGGTTCTTGCCTTCACAATCCTTCTTCTAATTATTTACATAATCTGGCTACATAAGAAAGGTAGGTAAAAAATCATAATCTGTGATAGAAGGTTTGGCTGTAAGATTCATTATTAAGCAAAAGCAAATTTTTACCCACATCCACATCACTGGTCTTTTTGTCCTTTCGTTCTTTTTCAGGCGCTGTAGGGAAACAGAGGTAAGAATCTGCTGCCAGTAGGATTGTGTCGACGTAATGTACCAGATGTGGTTTCATCTTAACAAAAAATTCCAATCAAAACTGATGAAATTCTAAGCGTTTTATAATTATTTCTATGCTTTCTCAATTGTAGGGCTTATGAAGATGAAAGAGGTGTTTGCTACGTAAGTTAAGCTAAGAAATTGAGGTCATGTTAGTGTGGCCAGATATTATGTAATCTCACTTTACCTCTACTTTCTATAAGAAAATAAACGCTTGCAGCAAATAAAAAGGAAAAAATATGTAGTTCTACATAAAAATAGCATATTGCATCAGTGGCAGATACAATGAAATAGAGGAGGAAGTTAGGCTTGATAAGGTCTTTGTCCTGGGATCATGTCCTAAGCTGCTCCATGGATTTTCTTTCGGTTGTCAACTGCCTGGCTTCACTTCAATGATCGCGAACTGTTCTGCACTCGGTTGATATTTGCTTTCTAAACAATTGATTTCGCGCATTTTTGGCCGTCTTATTTTCTTGATGCTTTATTTTCTAAAGGTGGGTTTATGAGCTGAGTACAGCAGGATTTTGTTCCTGCGTTTATTTGTCAAAAAATGCACTACCAATCGACAATCTTCATGTTGCAGTTTGTAGCTTCGGCGAATATGCTATGAGCCTCGATCACTCCACTGAACATGATAGTTTCAAAAGCAGAGAACAAAATGTTAGTGATAACAAAGTGTTAGTAATAATAAATGTTAGTAATAATAAGAACAAGAGATTATAAACTATTTTTCATCTCTTGTCATGGAAGAATATAAACGTTTGTCTGAGAAAAATGGGTGAACTGATTTTTATAACCAACGGTGTGTTGGTTTAATAGAATGGAACAGGATTAGAAGATATCGAACCAAGTCTACCCGATTCAAGAAAACTAACTCAGCCTCCTGCTGAATACATGGATCTCATAGAAGTCAACAAAGATAATAGAAAAGCACAAAGAACAGCTCCAGGTGCTGATTACGCGCCTCTTCGTCCGTTAACACGCTGCTGGGAAGTTCCAAGACATCACGTGACCATAGAAAAGATAATTGGTAAAGGCGCTTTTGGTCAAGTTGCCAAGGGAACAGCAGTAGGACTTCCAGGGAGTCCTGAGACGACCACAGTGGCTATTAAGATGCTTAAAAGTGAGCTCTTGTACTGTAAATTGAATGACAGTCTTGGCCTACAGACATTCAAGAATTGTTACCGGGTTAACGTAATTTTTTAGCTATTTGCCTTTTCATAAGTTATGTTGGTATTTCGACACGCTTCTCGTTAACCAAATTTTACTCCTTGTTTTTAACGCTCTAGCAAACGCCTCTGAATCGGACAAGAGAGATTTGATGAAGGAACTTGACACAATGAAGCAGCTGAAACCACATCCTTACGTCATTAAACTTCTGGGATGTGTTACTGAATCTGGTATGCTTTGGTTATGCGGGTTTAATTTTGTTGTACACATTTTTCATCTGATTTACTCTGTAACGCTTTCTCTTCGTCGATAATTTGCTTCAATGGAAGAGTCACTGCTTCACAATTGAGCACAACAAACAACCATCGCATAAGGTTATCTTGTTTTAGCCAACACAGACATTCCTGGATTTAGTGACAGACTAAGACCGAATATTTGCCACTGGGCAGATCATTCTGTTGTATAGGCAGAAATGCTTTTTGTGAAGGAATAATTGGTCTGTACCTTCTTATGAGATCGTTACATAGGTTTTCTTGTTTTCGTGCGATTTCTTCAAGGGTTGACCATGACTGGGGTATTTATTTATTTATTTTAATTATTGATAATTTTTTTTTAAGAGAGAGTAATATATCAACTAAATTGTTTAATTTCTTCAGAACAGCTGTTGGTTTTGATTGAATATGTGCCTTTTGGGGATCTGCTGGGTTACCTGAGAAAGAGCCGTGGATTAAAAGACACTTACTACAAAGACCCGGATATCAAACCACAAACAAATCTGACGTCGCAGCAGCTGATGAGGTTTTCGTGGCAAATTGCTGATGGAATGAGTTACTTGTCCGCAAAATCTGTAAGTTAATTAAAAACACAAAAGACAAACAATTCTAAAACCTTCTTGTAAGGTCTATCGTCATGTTAAGCACTGTCTTGCATAGAATATTATGTCTTCACAAGATCACGCCCGGGAGTTACAAATGTATTCCAACCGTCTTGATGAGGCTATTTCTTTAGGGCCAGGAACCCTCACAATCTTGACGTTATCATATAAGTTTTATTTCAATGTGAGAATGGCGATATTTGTGCATCTTTGCAGGTGCACCCCATCGAAATAAAATATCTGGATTTTTCTCGTGCAGGCAAAGGCAGAGACGTGAATGCATAGGATCTTTTAAGATATTCAGCCTAAACTAAGTGTACAACAAACGTCCATTTTAGTGACAAGGAAGAATAGGAATAAAAACTTTAAAATAAAAAATTAATCTTTTGTCGCTAAACTGCTCCATTACAGAATTCTATTTCGATTAAAATCTTAAGATTAGCGTTCTTTGAAATAACTACGTATTGCAGATATAAAGTAGTTTGCTTCTCTTTGGAATATGGAGGAGTTATTGTAGTAGTTTTAATTTTCTGCCATCTGGAAGAAAGAGAAATACGCACACCATATTATGTTGTAGATATTTCTATTTTCCTATCCGAACCATTTCATTTCAGTTCTTTTTCTTCTGCAATCGCAAATTTTTGCTGTTGCATCAATTCCTTTCAAGATCATTCACCGAGACCTTGCGGCCCGTAATGTGTTGGTTGGACAAAAGGAAATGTGTAAAGTGACAGACTTTGGAATGGCCAGAGATGTGCAGCAGGAAAATATTTATGAACGAAAGACTAAGGTACTCAGGAAAAAAGGGAGGTGGGGGCGGTATCACATTTCGTTCAGTTTAGTGATCTTTGACAATCATTGTTGTGGTAAAGCTGATATATTCCTGATTTCGATCATGAATTCCTTGGGACCCTAATGAAAACATTATCCATGCGTATACGAGTACAACTTTAAATATCACTGTTTTTGACTAGTCGCTACCTATAATTCTCGAGCTGTTTCACAAAGTGATATTTAAAATCTTTAGGGCCGTCTTCCCGTGAAGTGGACAGCTTATGAGGCCTTATTGTATGGTAAATATACCACCAAAAGTGATGTGTAAGTATACCTGATTATCAACCGTAGCAATTTATCAATAAGTTTTATCAATTTTAGTCTGGACTTGAATTCTATGCTTTGTCAAAGAATACATATATTTTATTTGTCGTATATACTGTTTATGTCAATAGTCACTTAATTTATGTTCGTTTGATTTGTCTTTCTGCAGATGGAGTTATGGAGTTTTGTTGTACGAGATTTTCACCATAGGTAACATCGAATGGAAGTTTATGAGGCTCTTAATTAAACAATGTATCGTGTTCAGTCAGACAAACGTAATAAGCTTCCCCATGCAATCTCAAACTCCATCAATTGACACAGGTATGTTTTAGTGAAGGTCTTTTTTTTGTCACGTTTATATCTCGATGATCTTGTGGTTCTTCCAGGCGGTTCACCTTACCCACGAATGGATGGAAGAAAAATTGCAAACTTACTTCAGGATGGATACAGGATGCCTAAGCCACCACACGTCGATGAAAAATTGTAAGTTTTCTTTGTTGCCTCGTTCTCTCTCGTTGTACAAGGAAATGCTCTTCAAATCTCGAACAGATCACTTGAACAATGCCAGGTATCAAATCATGATGAAATGCTGGAAGAATGACCCTGATGCAAGACCAACTTTTACTGAATTGAAAAATCAGCTTAAGGACATGGAAACCCTACACAAGGTGAGAATTTTGATCAATATGAAAGTTTATTTTCACGAGGACCGACTGGCTTAGGCTTAGCTAATTAGGGTTAAACTTAACAGCATTGAGCCTAAATAGCGCAGTAATATGTACTCATCTCTGCAATTTTTACGAAGTTTGGATTGCATCTTTTTGTTATGTCACTGAAGCTAGCACTCCACCAAAAACAGCAAAGAAACAAATTAGAATGTCTCAATGACAATTAACACTTTATGGCCATTTAAAAGATCATAGGATGATTGCAAAACTGCATTGAGACGCACAAAGAGTAGCAGATGACGACGTCATAAAATACTTCCTCCTTGAATTTGTTTTGGTGTAAAAACATAACCACTAATGAGGATAACTACTTAAAACTTTTTTAATGATGCTGATTATTATTTTTCTCTACAGAAGCTGATCAACATGACAATGTACGACAAGCAGTTGTATGCAAACGTCGAGGATTTAATAGTGTAGTTATATACATGTCCACGGTGTATAACTGGCTAACAGTTTGAACACTTCGCCCAGACAAGTTTCAGGGATTAATCATTTTTTCCTTACACGCTGACTTGGTAGAAATAGCCATGTTGTGTTAATCAGTTAGGCTGGAACGTTGTAATACAATTAACTTTATATTCTTAAACGCTGAAGCGAATTTATAAGTTTACCAATAAAATATACTCTCATTTTCTCTTAAACATATTAAGTACTTACATGTATGCCTCGACACAAGCGTTTGAGTTCAGTTTATTTTGTGGCTCATTCTAAAGGCAGGACAGCGCGAAAAAGAAATCCAATAATGAGATGATGATGAGATTTCGCTCTGAATGCCATAGTTGTGTACAATTTTAATAAATTGCTAAAAAATATTTTTGCCGCAAAACCCGCTTGTTTGCAGGAAAGTGAGCTAATCGTGCGCATAAATTCTTTTCCCCAAGACCGCCTTTACTTGCGATACCAACTCGAAATACTTTTACACGGAAAGTATTAATAAAATTAACGGTATTTTAATCAAAATTATACGTGGCACATTACATCTGCAGGCAGGTTTGTTGTTTGGCCCAATCGCCTGATAGTTTTCGCGTACTAGATACTATTACTCAACGAAACTGGTCTTAAGTACGTGTTCAAGTCTTTTTTCTTGGATACGTTGCTAATATAATAGCTTTAGTTTATTTTTTAAATATATATTTATATAATAAAAGTGTCAAAAAGTTCAAAGTTGACTCTGTCTGCATGATGATGCCTAATACAAGTTTACATCTTTCACTCCACGACATTAATCTAATATATCTTGACCCATCTCTCTAGATCTCTCCTTTGAAGGGAGGACAAAACCAAACCAAAGTAAACGAGCTTCCGGAAGTGCAAAAATCGCTTGTGCGTGTTTCAGGAGACTTACATCCAGGAGACCATGTTCTCCTGTCACTCTCATTAGAGGTTAAGTTAAGAGTCGATCAATTTTACATAATTATAAACTAGGTTACTTTTTGCTTAAAACCCTTCTTTCTTCAGCTGCACTAAATAATTGCACTCGAAACAGTACTTAATATGAAAACAACGCTCTTTCAGTCTGGAGCAGAGGATTCCTGAGGAATAGTCTTAACATTCAAATGAAGGAGATTTTGCTTATGTTTGGAAATATTTCCTGACGTTATTTTGTTTCTGGGAGCAAAATGGTACTCCAGCATACAGAGGAGAGGGGTTGAAATGGAGGGGGGGGAGGGGGGTCGTCTTAGCTTTGCAAAATGAATTTACCGAAATTTTGTATATAATTTTTTGCAGGTTTTTGCCGAGAGGGAATGAGTTTTATCCTAACATTCCTTCAAATGTCGAACTTTGTCAAATACAAGGTCTGATAGGACTAAAAGAAACCACAAAACAGAACACAAATTAAATCACTTCTGGTTCGCTTTTACATCAGGCGATCAACTGGGAAGCCTTTGTTTTACGATAGTGTCTTGAACTAAACGGTACACACCGAAGATGCGTAGACCACATTTCACGTAACAAAAAAGTCTCTTCCCATTCATTCTGATATGCTACTTTTGGTATAACACACGGCTGAAGTTAAAAATAATATTTGAATACGTCTTTCTTAATCAAATATAAAGAGAAGTATGAAGGTTACGGTGGCGGAAAATGAAGAAAAAACAAAGCAAAAAACAAAAAAACTATAACAATGATTTTCTCTATTCACTTTGCCTCTACTTCTCAATCAGTGAGTCAACAATATTGAACACAAAAACTTTTGTGAACTGCTAATATAAATATTTTCAGCTTTAACAGTGAATAGCACCTGAAAGTCTTCTGAGGTTTACTTTTATTCTTTAACGCCGCTGGTCACGCACACGTCGAGGAGTCCACAAACTTCTTTAACACTGCTATCTATCTATATTTGAAAAAGCGGGGGAGGTTTGGGTCGGGTCGCGTATTGCTTCGCTGTAACTATCACCAGCTCATTTATTTCGTTGAATTTTACTAATTGAACGCCAAGAACAGGCTGATGACTCCAAGTCTCTGCAATTTTTTAATGTAGTAGTCTTGCTTAAAAAATGGACGTAAGCCGTAATCGAAGAACCATTGTCTTTCGTACAATTACTGAATATTATGTACACTATATTTAACAACTGTTCTATGAGCACGCACTTGATATGGGTTGGGATACCAGTCTCGTTTCCAAGAAGAGCCAATGGAATTGTTGAGTTATTACATTTTTCACTTTTTGATAATGATTACGGAGCTTACTAAGTTCGTTTTAACTCTCAATTTTTCTTCAAATTAAAGCCACGAGAAGTCAATGTCACATCCGGTCGTCAAAACGGCAAAATTGAATCACATAAGCAACGTTTAAGTTACGTTCGAAGCAGAATTAAAATTCAACGCTAGCAATTTACACAGCCAGACACGATGAAAAGTAATCTCCGATCCAAGACACGTTAAAGGGTACGACATACAATACTTACGAGACAAGTGTTTAGGTGTGTTCGAGTTCCAGCCTATTAACAAGCGAAAAATATAACTTTGTGCACAGTTTTTTAAGTGTTTTTTTCACTTGAACGGAGCAAAGCTTGTGATCGAGGATAGCTTTCGTTTCAATATCCTGAGCTTAATTTCTCGCTCCGAGTGTACGAGTTAACAGTTACAACCTTACTGAGACAAACATTCGATTAAATCAATAAAACGTCATGCTTATCCTAAAGTCTTTTGCGAACGGAGCTAGTGCGAACTCCTTAAGTAAAACTTAAAAGATAAATACCATTCAATAACGTTATATTGTACTTTTTGACTTTTACCTTTTGTTACCGATATAACGTTGACTAGCATTTGCTTTAGTTAATTTCTAATGAACAGAAAGAAGTGATTGCTTCCATCCAAATGTGGATTCAGCTGAGCGACAATTGGATAAATCATTCTCCATAGAAGGTTGTATATGAGATGATGACCAGAGTTGAGGGAACCAAACAGAACACTAGAAATGCTATATTATGATTTTGAAATTTAATAAAAATAGCTAGTTAGTGAGCGCGTACCATTTTATCCAGTTGGGAATCGAAACTAACGCCTTCCGTTCAGTACTTCGAATACTCCAACGCTGAGGTACAGAAGACTTGCTCGCATGGAGATAAACTTTATGATTATCGATATGCGATTCTTACGAGAAATGATAATCTAAATTAATATGGAAAATTCTAAGCGAGATGATTTTAAAGAAGGATGTTATTCAGTGAATGGCGCAGGCAAACTCGGGAAAAATAAAGAAAAAAAACCTGAGTGCTTCTTATAGGACTCGAATCTACGACCTTCCAATTTGTACTAGAGGACGCTCTACCACTAATCTACAAGAGACTCGTGGCAAGTTAAGCCGCATAAATAGGCCCATGATGACAAACTCCTTGCATATTGCTAGGATAGAAATGTTCGCTTTTCCTTTTTTACCTCATGATATAACTTAAGTCAATTTTCCATATACTTAGTTACCGATGACTGATTTCCCTTACCTCCCCTTGAGACCCATGCTCTGAATAACTGACTCTATCAGGAAACCTAAGTGGCCAAAGAAGGGAAGAGAAGACTGTATCAGCGCTACCTTCTCTACCAGAGATGAGCTGACTCAACTATCAACCACCTGGGAAATTTCCAACATTTCTTTGGCTTTTCTACACATCAAAATTTCAATTGAAGGCAACGGTCTCTGCACAAGTGTTTGTTTACCTCTAACATTCAGATTCACATACTTACTTGTTGCATTAATCTTTGCATCCATTACCAGTCAAGTATTCCATTTCTTTTCGCAGTTTCTCAGACTTTGTCGTTTATTTAGTGACGACTCTGATTTTTCCCTCAAATCAGAGGCAACGTGCCAGTTTTTTTTTTATTTCTAGAGAAGTCAAAGAGGTGTCGGAAATTTCCCTGAACTATTTTAGGGATGGATGAAAGGAACTGACAGTACTTGAAAATAACTGAGTTCCTCTCAGGTGGAAAAAGTAGCGCTGATACAGTGATCAATGAAGCGACCTCAGAGTCCAGCCCCCTATTTACGCCTGGTGGGATTACTATGTCTCTTTGTAATCAGTTTGCATGTTTGTCAGCCCAAAGAGGTCGGCTACCCTATACAGTAGGTTTACAAAACTTGTTTTGCTCTGCCAAAACTCTCAACAAATTTTGTCTGCACCTAATTTTAAAATTTTGTTATCATGTGTGGACTTGCAAACAACTAAATATTTGATAAGCACAGTGTCAATTATATTGAAATTGAACACCTTTCTTTAGGTTCTGTTCGCGAGAAAGCTTATGTTTAGATGTAAACCATCATTCTTCAGGGAAAGTGTTGCTTCGCCGTGATAATTATTGCTCATATTTTTTTTTTTTTTTTTGTCGTTATTTTCTTCACCGTTCTTCGTCTTCACTGCTCGATTGCTGCGCGAGAATGAAATATTTTGTTAGGTTTCTGTGTGAATAGATCCTCTTAAAGTGAGATCAAATTTACTTGATTGACAGGAAGAAGGCACCTCTGAAGTTTTGTACGGTTTAAAATTTTGGTAGAAAAAAAAAGTGCGCACTTAATTATAAACAAAAATCACCGCATTCGTTCCAGCTTTTAATGAGTTTTGACCAATGACATATGACACTTTCTCCACCAATGGGAAAGCGTTTTGGAGTTGAGAGGTACCGTGTGTAAATTAACTAAACAACCCCGAATCTTTTGTTTTATTTCTTCTAAATATCTATAATATCAACAAATACACTTACGCGTAACTACTCGCTTGTTGACAATTTATTTTAAAGTATTTCCTCCTTACATCAACAGGCCTTATTTTCATTGGCGGAAAACCTAGATGAAAGCGAAACGTTATTCATTTCATCACAGAATTTGCTCGGAGCAAGGCCACCTTCAGTTGTTTATTTGAAAAAGAACTCAATTAAACAAGAGAAAAAGTTCACTTCAAGCACTTGAAGAAATATTTGTTTATTTGTACAGAGATAGAGTGGATATTACATTAGCTGAACATGCTGGTGAGCAATTCGTTGCAAGTGATCATGGAGGCTGTTAAATGACTGTCCTCTTTGACTGCTGTGAATCCGACGAAAAGGTTGGGATTGTTGCGCTGAATTTTTTGCTGCTTTGAAGCCGGTAACAAAACACTGCCACATTTTCACAGCTTGCAAGATGAAGGGTAAGAATTGAAGTGTACTGAAGCCTCCTAGGGTTTCTGCGCCCAAAATAAGTCAAATGTGGTAACCCTTCAAACCAGCTTCAGATAGCAAAGTATAATGGTTGTGGCCCTATCAATGAGGTTTGTGTAGACCTTGGAGAGCACTACCTTTGTACTCTAATCATATTCTCCAGCGTATTGATGCCAAGAGGACAGTTTTCTCACCAGGAGCCCCTTTATCGAAAGTCCAAGTAGTTTAATGGGCCCCTGAAGCTGTTGTATTTTCATTATAGATGCAGGTTTCAAAGGTTTTGAGAATTTCAGCTGAAGAAATAAGATAGGCTGATTAGGGTGCCAGAACCTGATCCTCTGTTCTTTAAATTTGTATTTTAAAATACGGCTTTGTGCCCGTTAAGTGATAAGGACTTTCAAGAAACAGGCCCCACAAATTGTTAACGGTACTTAATTTATTCCAGTCTTGCTTGGAACATGAAAAATAAAGCATCACTCTTTGGAATATCTTTGAAACGTACAGCCTTAAAGCTCCGTGGC